AATTAGGTCCTCACGTGGATTAATAGCATTTAATATTGTTAACTATAAAACTTCCAAGCAGAAATATGAATAAAAAAAGTTGTAACGAAAAATGATAATAGGAGAAAAAAGAACACTTTTTCCCACGTAACTTATAGACGTATTATATACGTTGACATTGACCTATGATATATATATATATATATATATATATATAAAATTTTTTAACTATATAAACTAAAAAGAATAATTCAATAAATGACTACTTTATTTGTTTACTAGTCTAGATCTAATACGACTTACTACACCAAATCAAATTGACAACCAACACTAAATTATATGTAGCGTAAAATCATGGAGAATGAGTTCTGATCAAGTCATGACCATTAACTATTATTATTATTTTATTCTTAATTTTCTTTTCATAAAAGCTTATAACACGTGATATTGATATTAAATTAATATAAATAACGCGTGTTTAATAATTACTTAACTATAACTTTCACTTTATTAATTACTTAGCATCTTAATCATATATTCGTACAAATTTAAATTAATTTTGATGTAGGCATTGAGATAACTAAATAAGTATTCGCTATATTTATTTTTCTTTATAATTTTTCAAAATAAAAAAATAGAAGAAAAAAATCCTTGCATCTCTTATTTCACCACCAAAAGCGAGTAGGATAAAAGTAATTATTTTTCATCTTTAATTAAATGCTTCATTTATGAATTTAACTTTAAAATAGAGAAATTTTTTATTCAAAACATTTTTTATTATGAATTTGAAAATTAATTCAAATGTAGGATCTTAAAATCATTTGAGAAGGAAAAAGAATGAAACATACGTTCCAGATCGATAGGATGAAGACCTAAATGATAATATAGCTGATTGGATACGTTATGTAATTGATAAAGACAAAATTCATGTCTTCATAGCCGAAATATAGACACAAACTTCTTCGTCACCAGCACAAGTGAATAAAAAATTAAAAAAAATCATATCATAAAAAATGACAATATCATAATTAAGCTACAAAATTTAAAATACTACTACCTAATAAAAATTTGAATAATATAGGAAGACACTGATTTATTAGGAGGAAATAGGATCATATGTTGTTGATTTGATTCCAATTTATGAGATACAAATCTTATTAGTTGAGCTGGTGAGTTCAGAATTATCTAATATCAAATTTTATAAAACAAAGAAATAATATTAAAAAAATTTCTTTAATTTTTTATTTTTAATTTTGCTAGTGATTCAACATAGCTATAATTAAATTATTAATTTGCGGGAGCCAACCCCACCTCCCCTTGTTCAACAACATGATGTCGGATTCAATCAAATTACTCTAACGCTTAAACCCTTTTCCTCTTCCTATTTTCCCATCATTTTCTCCGTCCCTCTTCCTCCTTTCTCCGGCTAAACTTCCGGCGGACGGCACTAGCTCCGGCGTGACGTCCGACTTTAATTTGATTAACTCTAAAACACTTAGCCGTTGAGTAGTGAGACAGCACCAACACCACCTTTCTTAGTTTCTCCGCCATTGCTAATCGCTTGTATTTTTTCGGTGCATTAATGGAAACATCAAGTGGGTATCTGAATTATCATCAAAATCCCTCTTTTGGTTCTTCTAGAAGAGACGTCTCTTACAGGTTCGCTTACTTCTGCACCTTTTTTTCAAGTGAAGAGTCTTAATTAAAAATTTGATTAAAATAATTGTGATTCAAATTAGAGTTTCTACTTTGAAGTTTTGATTTTGAGTTGAAGTGTGCTATTAAGTGTATTAATTAGTGGGTAATTGTTGTTTCATGGTTCTCGAAGTATTAATTTAAGAGGAATCTTATGATGGTGACTTGAACTGTTTATTTTTAGAATTAGGTTTCTGTTTTGTGGTTCCAATTTTAATTTCTTACGTAATAACTCATACTTTAAGGGAAAAATTGTCATTGGGAAATGGAATTTGTGGGTGGTAAGTATGGAGTCTGGCCATGTTTTGGTAGGTGCAAAATTAATTTTTGTGGAATCATTTGCTGTGTGGGTTGGTTGGAATTTTCTTTTGGAACTCTTAAACATATCAATTTTAGGGGGAAGTGCTCATCTTGAGCTGCAATTATTTAGGTCAAACCAGACTCAAGCTTATTCGAAGTATCCCAATGGTGTAACATTGTTGACATATTAGGGAAGAGTAGGAAGATGACTTTAATTCTTGTTTAGTTTCGGAGAAATAAATGTCTCACGAGGAATGGAAAGAAACATATCATATTTGATCTCTTAAGTCTGTGCATAGAATTATTGAGTGGGTCATCACTTGTAGGAATGACATAATGCTAATCCATATTCCACGCTGCCAAGGAAGCATCGGTTTCAATCTCATTATGACTTGGTCGTTTGGAATAGCAATTAATTCGATCAGAAGATTCGTGAAAGTATGAAAATACTAATTGAGTTCCTTCTGTTTTAAAGTTTAATTTCCATGTTAGTGAGAACACATGTTGTGTAATTTAGATGTTTATTTATAGAATGTTCATACCTGCAGTTTTCCTGTTTTGGGAGAAAAAGAATTAGTGTTGTATTAGGTAATGAAGTGAGTGAAGTTAAGTGTACCTGCATTTTGATCTACCTCCCTATTGTTGGCATTGCTGCTTGGATATGGAGAAGCGAGAGTTTGAACACATGGGACAAAGTGTTCTTTAGCTAAAAAGACTAGATTATTGTTGCAAAAAAAGAGAGAGATTATACTATAAGAAATTTAACTGAATTATAAGGTAAAGATTATATCTTTTATAGGATTTCATATTTGATATGGGACAAACTGTACCTGTCTCAATGTTGTAGTCTCACTCTTTATCTTGAAGATTTCAGCTACTTGTTTGCATTTTATTGGTGCTACACTGCTATCTTTTGATCTTCTACTTATCTCAAGTTACGAAATTTTCTCGAATCTTTTAATTCTGCTTTTGGTTAAAGATCTCATTGTATCGTTCCTTTTTTAATTCATAAAAAAAGAAGAGAGAAAAAAGGGAAAACATGTCTTGTTCCTAATTCTCTTAAAATGAATTTTCTAGTTGACACTTGACTGTTAGCTATATGAATCCTCATTGTTCATGTCGCCTCATTTGAAGCTATCTCAATTCAATATTTAAAAATTTAGTTTCTTTTTAACACTAGTAAACTTTTTTACTTTTTCTATGGATATACAAATCTTTAACAAGGCTAAAAATAGACTTATAGTGAAAAAATCCTATCTAAAAATAGACTTATAGTAAATTTATCAACATGGTTAAACTTTATGGTTTATCCAACTTGTTGTTTTGACGAAAAACTTGATCCAGCTAATTGGTATCCTCGATATCTATTCTTTTATTCTATTGTGTCCTATTTCGCTGGGTCTCATGGGCTCCAAGAGATTCTTGGTATTTTGAGACTTCATTCCATAATGATCTTTTTCCCTGTCTCGTCGCTTTTAACTCCTTAAATCACTGTGGTTTTTTCACCTATAGAGTATTTCTCATGGTTCGAGCTTTTGGTTGACGTCTTTGCTAGATTCGTCAATCAACACAATATCGCTAATAAAGAGCATACTGCCATGTGATATATGTTTAGTTAGTTCATCTATAACTAGAATAAACAAGTACAGCCTGAATGCTGATCTGTGGTATAATTACTTCTAGGTATTTTGATACTTCATTCCATATGATTTTTTTTCCATCTCATTGCTTATAACTCCTAAAATCACTGTGGTTTTTTCACCTACAGATTATTTCTTCATGGTTTGAGCTTTTGGTTGACGTCTTTGCTAGATTCGTCAATTAACACAATATCGCCTATAAAGAGCATACTACCATGTTGATCTGTGGTATAGACCCCCGATTATGGAAAATCATTTATTTTTCCTACCACGATCTTACACTAGTGTTAGCTCCTTCATACATGTCCTTTATGACATGTATAAGTTAACATGAATTAGTTTTTCTCCAACAACCACCAAAAGACTTCTTGTGATGCTCTATCGTATGCTTTGTCAAGGTAAATAAACACCATGTATAGATATTGGACAGATAATTTCTTAAAGTTTAAAGTTTGACTAAAATCCTATTTGGTTAACTGACATTACATTCTCAATCCTTGACAATCACCCTAAAGTTGTAATATGTTTTACATTCGAGTCATTTTCTTGGTCTTGGGAAGATCACAGCTAAAATAAAGGGGGAAAATGAGGGATCCGACCACTTCTGATAGATTCTGGATAGCTAAATTCTTAAGTTCAAACTAATGTTTACATGACCAGAAGTAAGGCCTTAAAATTGAAGAAACCTATTAAATCTGTAAAGAGAACAATGGGTTGTGGACATGTTTGAGCTATTAATAATCCAATAGAAATTCTTTAGAAGCTTCTTTGTCTTTGGGTTGAAAATTGCAGTTTGATTTTTCACATATGAAAATGGACAAGTAGTGCGAGGAAGGTGACAAAGGAATTGTCTCTTAAATAAAATATCACCAACGAATTAAGTTTTCTCTTCTCTCATCTTCTCCTGCCTTCTGAGTTTTCCTTCTTTACATCCCAGCACGGTTTTCGTTTCTTGCTGTATCTTTGGCATGTTGGTCAAGGGGTTTAATGCATGTATTGTTCATTCGGTTCATCTAATTGAGTTATTGGCTTGAAACGTCTATTTCATGGATGAAAGTTGGTAGCTTTGTGGTTCATCTTAGTTGGAGATGTTATAGCCACTTGTTTAGATTTCACATTGAAGATGAGGCTATGGTTTGCCATTGGAATGATGTTATATGAACTGCTTGTCGAGGGGCTATTTTGGTTTTAGATTAACATATTGACAATTTTGTTCTCATTGAATCATGAGGTTCATTTTTTAGGTTATGATTATTGATAAGTACACCAATTATCTCTAAATAGTTCCATATACTGTACTACTTCTAACAACAGGTTGTCAGTAATATAAGGTAGTTTTGAAAAATAGTGAATAGATGAATTGACATTAGCCTTTCACAGTGTAGTGCTCTATTATTGGAAAATGATGAAGTTCTTCACATTTGTCAATGGATGAAAAGTTTGGCTGTCGCTGAATCATGGAATATCTTGAACTTTAGGGCTCATGGGTGTGATTTTACATGTTGGATTTTAGTCTCAGTATCCCATAGTGCAAAGAAATAGCTCCATATTGACTTTGAAGATTTGATGGTGTTGCTTAGGATTTTAGCCATTTTCTGGAAAGTGTTTTCTGGTAAATCTAATTACTCAACCAGCAGTATATTCTGGGCAAAAGTATTTGCCGTAGATTTTATCATTGATAGAGCACGTTAGGGGTTCTTTTTCTTTCTTCATTTTTCTTGAAAGAGAGGGCAACAATATCCGATATAATTTCTTTCAGTGAGCTAAAAGTTTTTACCGAGTCAAAAGCAAACAGTGCAAACAGGCACTAAAGTCGGTTTGAGGTTGAAGCACAAAGGACATTTAAAGCTTGGGTTTAGAGAAAAAGCCATCATTGATTGCTATTGTTCTTTTGGATTTTCAGTTAAATAACTGTCATTACCTCTTTTTGTCAATTAGATCTGCGAAAAACATCATTTTTGGAGTATGTGCTTTTCATAATATTTTTTTGAACTCCAAAAAAATAAAAGTAAAATTGAATTTGCACCAAGTAGCAAAAAAGGAAAAAGGGAATGGACATCAGTCATGACTTAGCAAAAGTTGATTCGATGCCAAACAAAAACTCATCTCCCTGGTTATGGTTCTATATGAAACTCAGCAGAGACTATATTTGTACCTACATATGGTTTATGCTAGAATGTCTTGAGAACTTAAAATGTATCTGTTGTTTGGAATTCCTAATTAAGTCTGATTAGTAGCATAACTACCTCCTATTATATATGGTAAAGTAATTCTGAGGTAAGCTTCACATTTTGTGAAGAGCTAGCCAGTAGGAACCTTTAAGCATCTAAATCATAAAGAAAAACAAGATACAGTTTTTATCTACACTTCTGAGAAATGTGGGTACTTTTTTGATCTTTTACCAACTCCCTCTTCTTAAAGAGGGATTACCGATCACAAAGTGCTCCCTGGTTAGTGTTTTGAAAGGGGCAGGTTGGCTACACTGTGTTCCTCTTGCTTGCTTAGCTTTATTAAAGAGTGATGCCTGTGTGTGAATCAGAATGAACCTCTAATGGAAATGGGTCATTCTAATGTTGTATGCTTGGGTGTGTATTTGCTAACCATCCCAAAACAAAGAGAAAAGGTATGTGAGCAAAAAGTGAAAAATAAAATAAGATCATTTAATCCAGTTATTTGGATTAAGGTATTGGTTCTAGAGTGGATAGCGCCATTCTTTCTTTTACCTTCGTAGATATTGTCTTCACTTGTTATGTAGAAGTGCTTCTTTAGCGACACAATCATCTATCTGATTTGTTTTTTATGCAGCTGTGGCAGTTGTGGGTATGAGTTAAATCTTAATTCATCAAGTCGCAATACTGCTTCCATTGGGTCCAAGTATGGGAAGTCCATTAAGAAAGGGATGATCTCCTTCTTGTCCATTGATGAGAGCAGATTTACCCAGGTTGATGAATTCAAGTGTGTACCGTTCTTTTTCTCCAAACGTTCTTGGGGCTTGTTCCAGCGGCGAACAAAACTTCAGTGCAGAAAATGTGGTAACGATATTGGAATTGCTTATGATGATAGTGCTTCTTCTTACCCACTTGTAGCCGATGCATCAGATACAGCCTCCGGTAGTGAAATAACCACTCATAGGAAATACAATATCAAAATCCGCTCGTTGCAACCGTCTTCCTCAGCATCGGGTACTCCTCTCCCTGAGTGATATATAATGCCTGTGAATAATTCTTCTGTTTGGCATGTATTTATGATCATGCAATAGCACTTTGCTGGAATTTTAAAATTCGAGGTGCTTTTTAGTTTCCTGTTATATTACTTATCAAGTAAATAAGACTGATCAGATTACAGGCTTGGTTGGAGGATTTGTATAATTTTCTTGCTATCCATCTCTCAAGAGGTGGGCAAGCACTCTTTTGGGGGATGTAGTTTGTATTTTGTACATAAGGAACAGAACTGTCAATGAGGTGTGGATTTGAAGCAGCTAAGTTTAGCATTTGTCATTTTTTATTGTGTTTTGAATACCTATCAGGCAATTTTCAAGCTGTCACAACTAACGTCTATAAATTCATGGCTACTTGGATCAGTGCTCTCTCTCTCTCTCCCTCTCTCGCGCACACTAACACACACACGAGGGTGGTCTTAGTTGTTACTCTTACGTATTTTACGTGCTTTTTCTAGTTTGTGTATTGCTTTCTTCTCCCTTGTTTGTCTCAACACATTCTAATTGACTTGATCATATAAAAATTCATATAAGCTGTTCTTGTTACCTTATAGCTCCTTTAGTTTTCCTTTCTCGAGTCATCCTTTTAAATATTATTCATAGGTACCCAAGAAAGGACTATTAACTGGACTTTTCAGCCATTATGGACCATTAAAAGCCCAGTCCACACCCTACAGATAGTGCAACAAGATGGTGCACAAATTCTAGCATGAAATTTGGAGTTTATTCAGGTAGTTTTGAGTCGAGAGTACATTGAAAATCACTTTTCCACCTTCATAATTTATTTGAGCCATCACATTAGTATGTTGTTATTTTGGTATTAACATAATTGTTTGACCCCGTCTATTGTACAATTTGCACTATTATATACTACAATGGAATGGATTTCATTCAATCAACAACGAACAATCAATATGGTTCAATTATTTCGACCAACATTTATTAGTTTTATCCTTTAGTCAATGCTGGTTAATACTATATACTACAGACTGCTTCAATATGTATCTCGTACTATTGAGACTCTTCCCCATAGTAAGTTCTAAAATCGATCCATAAAGGAGAAATAGAGCTGCCTTCTCCATATTTTTTTTCTTTCGAATCTCCCATCTAATATTCGATATCTCTGTATTGGAGATTGATTAAATTTAAAATCAAGCATAGCAGGCTCATTTTAGGGGCGACACTCTCAAGTCTCGACAATTTTTTTCATTCTCATAGGTTTGAATCTGATGTTGGTCCTTTCTTCATGAAGGGATTACAATTCACAATTATTACACTACAATTAAACCCATGTTGGTCCTTTCTCCATGTCAGATCGTCTGATCACAAACTTTACCATCAACGATCTATATAAATATCTGTAACGCTAAATATTTTTGCGACAATACTAAAAGAAAGAATTATTTCCACTAAATGTCTCTTTTATTGTAGCGCGGATAAATGGTAATCAATTTTCTTGACAAGGGCCCGGCCCCCCTCTTTTACCACAGAGATTAGGTGTTAGAAAAATTGAAACAAATTAGGTGGGTGAAGTGGTTCATCTTCTTAATAGCTATTGATGTTGAAAGGACCCTAAGCTAGCTAGTTCCATTTAATGCCGTATTGCCAATTGGAAGAAGGCACTTTGCAATATTGCCTTTGATTGCATATATTTTAAGCTCAAGCATATGTTAGTAGGAAGAACAATTAAACTTCACTGAAAAAGAACTTTGATTTTGACAGCTTTAATTTGGACGTGCATGGTGAGCTAATATTTTGTTCTTCATAGTTCATCATATATAATGCTTTCTCCCTTTCGTTTACTTGTCCGGTATACTAAAAATAATTACTTTGTATTTTTTTGAAAATCTTATTACCCTTTGTTCTCGACCTTATTGGAAATATAGATATGTCTACTTTAAAATAAACACTTGATTAAAGTTTTTTAAGGTGAGTGCCATTGAACAAGTAAAAAAAATCAAAAGAGTATATTATGTAACGTCATAAAGATTTTGCACGCACTTTAAGAGCGATATAAATAGCTTTTACTTATAAGAGACGTATTCGTTGTTGATAAATAAAAGAGAATACTTATTTAAGAAATCATTTTTTAATCTCTTTCATTAAATGTCTTACTACACTATTCATGGAAAAAAAAAAGACTTTCATATATATATTTTTAAAAGATAATAAATTATTTTGTCAAAACAATCAATATTTAGAACAAAAAATATATACTACTCCTAATTAATATTGCTTATTTACTCTTTTATGTTGATATACTTAGGTGTACAACAAACAAAACTGTCACTCATATACAACAAGATATCTAGGTCACAATCATCAAGATTACGATTTTGATATAATGATGTAGAAGACTATAGAACTGAAGTTGGATTTACTTCAAGATATCTGCACACGCTTCAAGAGGTAATCCTGAGTTAATTTTCAACATATTTTGTATGTGATAACTATTTGTGATTGTTATTTATATTCATGCAAGATGTATGATTCTGGAATGCTTCCGCTGTATATGCTATTTTCCAACAATTGGTATCAGAGCCATACTTGCATCTTTATACATAACCTAAAATATGCATATGTGAAATTATATGTCTGATTCATGATTGTGAATTTTGTTTTATCACGAAAAGGACAGAACGAATAAAAACTTGATTTGATTTGTTTTTGTTAAATGCATACGGTAATAGTTACTTATGAAAATTGATTTGTAAGATTTGATAATATTTTCATATTGTCATGCACGGTGTTCTTCGATGGATAATTTCAAGAGAAATTTTGATAGCTGCACCGATCAATTTTTTTTGTTGTCTTGTGGCAGCACTTATGTGCAATTGTATATAAGAGATTTGTGTTATGGCAAGGCCAAAGAGAAGCATACCACGCCATGGCAGCAATACATGATTGCATGTGTGATTTATGTCTCGATTATGTGGCTGTTTTTGATATAATAATAATAATAAAAAAAAAAGTTAATTTTTTTTGGCTCACATGTTTTAATATAGAGAGAAACTTTTGATTTTGTACGACTAAAACAAAATAGTATGGCTATAGTTTTCTTGTTCACATTATAGGCAGCCATAATTTTTTTTAATCAAAAGGTGTATTATTGAATATATATGAGATGGTACATGGAATGTACGAAGATTTGGTGTGCGTATATTTTCTTTCTGGAAATTTTTTTTTGTATGAAATTTGGAAGAAAATAAATGGTGATGAGTAAATTTTTTACCAAGATTAAATATTAATGAAGTATTAAGTTTATGTGTTGGCTTAGACCTTCCTCCCCATCGGATGAATTTAATACAAGTCATTACGTATTTAATCGCTAGTTTGACAATTTGTATAACTCTCCTAAACGGAGTAATATATGATTGGATCAATGCAACTAGAGGATTTTCACTTGACTTAAAGTAACAGTAGACTCTCCAACTGAGTTAGGTCTGTATAAGTTTATAAAGTGAATAATCGGTCATTATATATGTATATTGTATGAATAGTTCTCCAATCCCAACGATTGGCTATTTAAGATGCATGAATGTATATGTATATCGTGAGTTTGAATGTAAATATTCAATGTTATATGACTATGTTATTGATCTATTGTAACTATTTCTTTAATCTCAGATTCAACATGTCTCCTTTTAATCCCATTAGTACTATTTTGGGTCAAAACAAACTAGAGGGTTCTAACTATGTTGACTGGAGGAGAAATCTTGACATTGTGTTAACTGCTGAAGAATATAAGTTTGTGCTTCATGAGGAATGTCCACTGAAACCAAATGATCAGTCTAGTGATGAGGATAAGTTAGCTTATCAAAAATGGCGCAAAGCTGATGAGATGGCGCGATGTTACATTATGGCTTCAATGTCAAATGTTTTGCAACATCAACATCAAGCTATGTTGTCTGCTTTTGAAATTCTAGAGAATCTCAAACAAATGTTTGGAGACCAGGGTCGATCAGCTAAGCAGACTGCCATGAGAACTCTCATGAACACTAAGATGGTTGAAGACACTCTTGTAAGAGACCATGTTCTGAAGATGATATGTCTTCTGAATGAACTAGAGGTTTTGGGGGCTGAAATTGACAATGACTCCCAAGTTGAGATGATATTACAGTCTCTGCCTGATAGTTTTCAACAATTTTGCCTAAATTATAATATGAATAAAATGAGTTTATCTCTGGCACAATTGTTGAATGAGCTACAGGCGGCAGAGACCCTTGTCAAAAAACATGCACCATCAATGACACTTAATGTTGAGAAAGGTTCTACTTCTAAACCGCAAGGTGGACAGAAGAAAAAAAAGTCTCACAAAGCTAAGGCAACTGCACCTCCAACTGGGGGAGTGAAAAAGTCTAAGGATAAGTGTTTTCATTGCAAGATGTCAGGTCATTGGAAGACACATTGTCCAGTTTTCGTTGAAACATTTTTAGCGGCCGTTTCTACCACTTCATGGTGTGTAGATTCAGGAGCCACTGATCATATCTGCACTACTATGCAGGGGTTTCAAGAAACGCGCAAGCTGATTAGAGGTGAAGTTAGCGTTTTTCAAGCAGATGACTCTGCAGCTCCAATTTTAGCATTAGGAAATATTATTTTTTCGTTTGATAGTGGTAGAGTTTTAATTTTAAAAGACGTTCTATATGCACCTGCTGTTAGAAGAAATTTGATTTCAGTTTCTAAAGTTTTGAGAGATGGTTATGATGTTAGTTTTTCTGATAACGGTTGTGTTATTAGTTATAATAAACATTTTGTCTCTGTTGGTACATTGATTGATGGTCTTTTTATTATTAATGTCTCACCAGAACTGCAACAATTCGTAGAATTGAATAATGTTAACCTTTCAAGTAAAAGAAAACGTTCTGCTGATTTTAATGAGACTTGTCTATGGCACTTGCGTCTATGTCATATAAATCTAGATAGGATTTCAACGTTGGTTCGAGATGGACCTTTAGGTTCATTAAAAGTGGAGGCACTACCAACATGTGAATCTTATTTAGAAGGAAAAATGACTAAGAGACCTTTTCCCTCAAAAGGAAATAGAGTCAATGATAAACTAGAGTTAATTCATTCTGATTTGTGTGGCCCAATGAACATTTAAGCAAAAGGTGGGTATGAGTACTTCGTGACCTTCATTGATGACTACTCAAAATATGGATATATATATTTGTTGCGCCGTAAGTCTGAATGCTTTGATAAATTCAAAGAGTTTAAGGCTGAAACAGAGAAACGACATGGAATATATATCAAGTCATTGCGATCTGATCGTGGTGGTGAATACCTCTCTAATGATTTTATTAGTTACTTATCAGAATAAGGAATTACATCTCAAATGTCTGCACCTAGAACGCCACAACAAAATGGTGTAGCAGAAAGAAGAAATAGAACTCTTTTAGAAATGGTTAGATCAATGATGAGTTACTCTGATTTGCCGCATTCGTTTTGGGGATATGCCATAGAAACTACAAATTACATTCTGAACTCAGTTCCTTCCAAATCTGTTTCTTTGACACCCATTGAACTGTGGACTGGGCACAAACCTAGTTTGAGACATATTCGGGTTTGGGGATGTCCAGCATATGTATTAAAAGGGAAGGCAGAAAAATTGGAACGTAAAACAGAAGTATGTGTTTTTATTGGATACCCTAAAGGAACGAAAGGTGGTATGTTTTATAATCCTAAAGAAAAGAAGGTCATTGTGTCTACCAATGCCAAGTTTCTGGAAACGGATTTTTTAACAAACCATATTCCTAGAAGTAAACTAGTTTTACAGGAATTGAGCAAAGAGAAAACAAATCAATCTACTGAAAATAATGAAAACCAAATTCAAACCCCACATGTTAGAGTTAACATACCATTGCATTATAATAGTGGGAGAGATGTTAACAAACA